CTCCCTCTCCCCCCCCGCGGCTGCGAAGACCCTGCTGTGTGTCCCCCCCTCAGCCGGCGACCACGGCGACAATTCCCACCCGGGGGCCACCCCAGAGACCCTTCTGGTGGCCACGACCACGCCGGACCCCCTCCAGCGGCGCGACTCGCCGAAACGAACCCCAAAACTCACCAGGAGTGTTGCAGCAGGGGTGTTTATTCACGGGTGATCCCTCCGGTCACGCACACCCACTGCCTTTGTTCAGCTCTTTCCGTGCAGTGTAACGTTACATTTACACACACATTAGTTGTGTTACCTATGCATTAGCTGTGTCAGCAAATTCCAGGCGAGTGGGAGGGGGAATCATTAACATCCACCACTCCTGTAACTGCGCCTTGGAACTCCCCCCTTGGGGTTTTCTTTCGGGGGTCTTTTGGGTGAAGTAAGAAATCTTCCTCGGCTTGAACTTTCTGCCTTTGCTGGGAACTGCTGAGTCGGCACTGTCCGTTTAACTCAAAACTGGTGTCTTCTTCAGGAGCTTCTCTTTATCAGCTTTCAAGCTCTCTTTCTCGCGAGCTTCAAAGCCCCTTATCCAAACTCTAAGGTTTTCTGTTCCCGCTAAAGTCTTCACTCTAAAATTAACTACATCCCGCCTGTGAGTCAGCATGAGCAAGCAAGGCCCTATCCCGATTCTACCTAAAAAATTAGCTAGTACGCAGCTAAGGCCACAATCTTGTGTTATTGCTTTATATTTTTATATTTTTGATCGCCCTTTTATCGAGCGCCGGGGGCCGTTCCCGGCCGGGCCCCTCAGCCCGAGCGGCCGCAGCTCCGCTGGGCGGCGCCACCCGCGCTGCTCTGAGGGGCCCTCAGGGCTTCCCGCCCTTTTTATCCCCGTTCCCCTCAGCGGCCCCCCCGGGGAAAGGGGCTGCCCGCCCGCCCGTCCCCTTTTCCTCCGAGGCCATGGAGAAAGACAAGCAGTTTAAGCTGTTCGTGCCGCCGCGTCTGAGCTCTGGGCAGCTGCCTGCGGTCAGAAGCCAGGTGGGCGCTCGGCTGTGTCGGGGCTGTGGGGTTTGTGCTGCTCTCTGGAGGCCGTGGCTGAGGAGGGGGCGGTGGGAGAGCGCAGGGGACCCTCCCCGGAGACACGGGGACGGTGCTCTGTGCGGGGAGTCCCCCAGCAGAGCCCTGAATTGGAGCAAACACACGCACAAATACACACACACGTGTTGGGAAAGCCCGTGCGCAAAACTCAATATTATATATAGGCAGCTAAGATTGGTGCTAGGGGAAAACATCTTCAGTTTCTATTTCAAAACTCTTGCTGTTGTTTGCTATCAAAACTGAAGGGAATCACCTTCTCGGGCATCTGCTCTGAATTGTAGCGGTACATTACTGGAGATAAATCCACGTTTGACGTGAGTAATTCAGCACAGTGAGTGAGCAGTGCCTCCAGTCGGGTGCTCACGGGGGCTTTGGTGTTTTGCTCTCGCCAGATCGAGGGCGCAGTGAAAATGTTTAGTTGCCACACTGAATTACGTGAATTCAATGAGTTGTTTTTTCATGTCGAGGCTCCTTTCGATATCTGTTTAGATTCAAATGGGATGCTCTAACAGGAGATGCGTTTCTGTTCCTAGAAACCTTGTAAAAGGACATTTTCGTGCTAGAACGTAATCACGTGTGGTTTAGAGCTGCCCTGGGAAGTAAAGCAAAAAACAAATATCAGCTACTGACCTTCAAAGAAATAATTTTGCTTCCTGAGTCCTGTACCATGCACCCGTGCACTGACAGGCAAGAGCTGCTGAGGGCTCTGCATCAAAAGCTTGGCCTTTGGCCTCAGCCTATAAAGCAAACCACAGCAGACCAACAGTTTGATAACCCACTGTGAATTAAGAAGCAAGTGAGTTCCAAAGGCATTTACCAACACCTTGGGCTTTGAAAACTGTAGTCACTTGCTTCCTTAATGAAAAATTCTATTTCCACGTTAGCTGTACTTTTCTTTTCTTCTGGATTTTATAATCCTTCTTTGCAAGCCTACCCGTAAGAAGCTCGTTTTAAAATTTGTGCAGGGTTTTAACAAATGCCCAGGGGACGATTTTAAGTTGCCATTCCGTACCCTGAACCGTGGGGAAATCACAGATCCAGGTAAGACTAAAAGAAGCATTTACCTTGCACCTTCTTTCATTTTTTTTAATGTTGTCGAGTTTTAATATTCATGAGTGGCCTCAACAGTTTCCCAGCTGTAATGCTGTTAAATACAGTTTCACTGGCACTTTTTTTTAGAAATGCATTGATCAAAATCTTTTCCTGTTTCAGCTACACTGTCACAGCAAGTAAAACTTTGCTCTGAAGTAGATGAAGAGGTCAGCTAAGTATCAGCTCTGCATATCTTAACTTCTTGGGGCCTCTTAATTTGTTCCCAGGCAGTGCCGAAAACAATATTCAGTAGATCATTTAGGACTAAAGGAAATAGTCAGAAGGGAATAATCATGTTCTGTCTCTTATTTAAAAGTGAATCACTTAAAGGAGATATTTGTGATTTAGTGAAAAGCCTGGAGACAAAATTAAGGTGATTCCAAGTTTGTTTATTAATTTTAGTTTGGTTTTTTTAAGTGTCTGGGAGTTTTAATCAGACTTAAACACTTAGATATCTTTGTGGAAGTGGTTCTGAACAGTCTGTTGAAAGGCAGAAGGACTGAAGTCAGAGTATCCTTTGGAAAACTGAAGTAGATTATCCCAGTGGTCTGGTCTGGGTTTATCTTATCAGTAAAACAATGAATTTAGTGGTTTCCTCAAGCACTGAATTCTTTTCATAGCATCTTTACCAGCATTTTACCGCTTTAGTAAAGTTTCTTCGCAGTCTGAAGGCAACTGGGGGTTTTTCACTTGTGTTTGTGTCTCCTGCTTTCTCTGTAACGTGTGTTGTTACAGACACAGTGGATGCCCAAAGATTTAAACTTTGGCTCCTGATTGTCTGTGTCACCATCTGTGGAAAAAAAAATTACTCCCTTCTAAGAGATAAATATGTTATCTGCAACATTATTAATTAAATAGCATTTGAGATTAAACTGTGGAACCTGTTTTAATAGAATATAGAAACAATGAA